TGGTAAAGAAGATGAAGAAAGTGTACCTTTAGCTCATTCTTTACTTAATGCTCTCTGTGTAAGATATATTTTTGAAAATAATAAAAAATATTAGGAGTTATTATATTTATAATTATATATATATATTTGTACTTTAGGATCTCTTATTTTGTCCTGATTTTACAGTAGCTGCAAATAAAAAGTCTGGTCCTGTAAGTATTTTTTTATATTTATAGAATTTTCAGAATATTATTTAAATATTTATTAAAATGTTTTTGAAATTTTTTTAGGATAAAGCAGAAGAATTACAATCTATAGATAGTTGTGAATATATCTGGGAAGCTGGTGTAGGATTTGCTCATTCACCTCCTAGATATCCAATTTTAGATTCAAATAGAACAGAGTTACTAAAGTTGTTATTAACTTGCTTCAGTGAAACCATGTACAATCCTCCTTTGGATCTATCAGTTACTCCAAACAAATGGATTCAACACTTAACTAGTTCTGAAAATAGGTAAATTAAAATGTCTTTTAATTTAAATTTTAACTTTTAATATAAATTTATTATTAATATATAACAAAGTATAAAAATAATTAGTTTAAATTTTCATATTTTAATACAGACATGCTTTGCCTATGTTTACATCATTATTGAATACGGTATGTGCATATGATCCTGTTGGACTTGGAGTGCCATACAATCATTTATTATTTACTGATTCGTTAGAACCATTAGTTGATGTTGCATTACAAATTCTTATAGTAACATTAGATCATGATACTAGTGGTAGTACTCCATTAGAAGAAGGAAGTATTGGAGATAATTTATTCATTAATTATTTAAGTCGAATTCATCGAGATGAAGGTAATTTATATTTAATTATATGTTTTTTGAACAAATAATCAAATAAATTATTATTTTTAAATTTTCAGATTTTCAGTTTGTATTGAAAGGTATTACAAGATTATTAAATAATCCATTAATGCAGACATATTTACCAAATTCAACTAAGAAAGTACATTTTCACCAAGAATTATTGGTATTTTTTTGGAAAATGTGTGACTATAACAAGAAATTTTTATATTATGTATTAAAAAGTTCAGATGTTCTTGAAGTATTAGTACCTATATTGTATCATTTAAATGATTCGCGTGCCGATCAATGTAAATGATTAATTAAAATAATTATAATCTTGAAAAAATTGATAAAATTTAAATAAATACTTTTATTACATATAATAATTAAATATAATTTTGCAGCTCGTGTTGGATTAATGCATATCGGTGTATTTATTTTACTTTTATTAAGTGGAGAACGTAATTTTGGCGTTAGATTAAATAAACCATATACAGCTACAGTACCTATGGATATTCCTGTTTTTACAGGTATTATAATATTAATACATTCTATTTATTAATGTGGTATTATTTTTTTAATTATTAAATACTCGCAGGTACTCATGCTGATTTGCTAGTCACTGTTTTTCACAAGATAATTACAACTGGACACCAAAGATTACAGCCATTATTCGATTGTTTACTAACAATTCTAGTCAATGTATCTCCATATCTTAAAACACTATCAATGGTGGCTAGTACTAAGCTATTACATTTACTTGAAGCATTTAGCACTCCATGGTTTTTATTTTCAGCACCTACTAATCATCATTTAGTATTTTTTCTTTTAGAAATTTTTAACAATATCATTCAGGTAATTTTTATAGAAAAAGATTTTTAAATTTAAAATAAAATTAAAATTAACAAAATTCATTTTGTATGTTACTAGTATCAATTTGATGGAAATAGTAACTTGGTTTATACTATAATACGCAAAAGACAAGTCTTTCATGCATTAGCAAATTTACCAAGTGATTGTAATACAATTGCAAAGTCTCTCAGTAAAAGACAACGTCGTCATGTACCTGCTAGTACATCTAATGAAAATGTTAATGAAACAGCAATGGAAGGTTCACATCCTGCACAACCTGCAGAACCTGGAACTTTAAAAGCAACTTTATTAGAAACCCCAGGTAAATTTCTGATATTTTATTATTCGTTATTTGACAATAATATTTTTTAATTAATTATTTTAAAGGTATTGAAAAAATGACTGAAAAAGAATCTGCACATCCATTAAGTCCTTCAGTAAATATTGATGTAGGAAAATCTAATCATCAAAACAACGTAAGCTCTACAGAAGATTTAATGAATTCTACTAAAAACTCTATTATACCAGTAAGATTATAATGGTATAAATAATCAATGAATATATTTAATATTCATAAATTATTTATATGTTGTTTTAATAATTAAATAGAAAGGAGGTATTAGAGTGGCAGAACACAATTCTTCTAACAATACAAATCAATGGGTTCCTTCTAGCGAATGGGTATATCAATGGAAAACTAAACTTCCATTGCAAACTATTATGCGATTACTTCAAGTTCTTGTACCTCAAGTTGAAAAAATATGCATTGATAAGTAAGTATAATTTATCATTTTTCCTTTTAATTTTTTTATTATATATAAATTATAAATGTTCATTTATCTTATTAAATATTTCAGAGGTCTTACAGATGAAAGTGAAATTTTAAAATTTTTACAACATGGTACATTAGTTGGCTTGTTGCCAGTACCGCATCCTATTCTTATTAGAAGATATCAAGCAAATGCAGGAACAACTGCTTGGTTTAGAACATATATGTGGGGCGTTATATATTTAAGAAATGTTGAACCACCAATATGGTATGATACTGATGTAAAGTTATTTGAAATCCAAAGAGTTTAAATGCAATGAATATTAAGCAAATTATTATTAACTTTAATATTGAAATTTATATATTATCTTTCCTTGAAATATTTCTTAGTATAAAGAAAGAAATCTCAGTAATTTATTTATTACTATTAAATTATTTCCAATAATAATAATTTATTTTAACTAGTAAATGACATTTTCATAAATATAATCTTTCCTATAAGTCTATTACACAGAATTATAGAACTGATTTTGCAAATATTAATTATGGAAAACTATGACATATTATAATTCTCAATTTTCACTAATAAATATATAAATACTTGTGACTGTGTAAGTGCCTTCACAAAAACATCATCATAAAACTAATTTAATAAATAAAACTAAATTAATAAATATATTTAATTAATATATTGATAATTGATAAATATATTTAATCAATGATAGTTCTTTTTCCTTCATCAATTTAGTATTTTCAATAAAAGAACATTACTCAAATTGTTTATTTTTTATTACTGAATATTATAATATATTTATTAAAAATAAATGAAATGTAATGTAGTAATTAGTCTGTAAATCTGTGTAATAGTAATAAAAATTTTGAAAGATATGATAATTCATATTATGCATAATATATTATTTAAAATACAAACATTTCATAATATTTTTATTTTATCATGCTTTAAAATTTTATAAATAAAATTATATAAATGTATAAAAGTAACAAATGAATTTATTAAGTTTTAAGTGCACTAATAATTTTTTTTTAGATTTTTAATGTTTTAAAGATTAGAAAATAGAGTAATGTTTTAAAGATTAGAAAATAGAGTTCCTTTTTGTTTGTTTCACATGTTTTAATTATGTATTTAAATTATTAGATTTCTAATCTCATAATATGAAGTATATTTATTTACTAAAATTTTAAAAATAATAATCATAATTTAAAAATAATAATATTAAATATATTAAATATATTAGATATATTAATATATATCTAATATATTAGATAATTATTTTATAATTAAAATACTTAAAAAAATTAATATAATTCTTTTAATAATAATAATATATATATATATATATACATATATATAATTTTATCTTTTTTACTTCAATTTGGAAAATTTAATAAATTAGTTTGTTAATATCATGATTTTTTATGAAAATATTTTGTTTATTTATATATATAGCAACAAAAAAAGTTATATAAAGAAAATGATTTTAAAATATTAAGATTTAAAAATTTCAATATTTCTTATATTTCTATATATTTATATATTGATTGCATAAAATCGTAATATTTGTATTTTAAGGTTGAAATATATTTTTTTAATATATAAGTTTAATAATAAAATAATATTTAATCACTTAAATAGCTTCACCACAACAAAATAAACATCTGCTCTTATTCATTATATGATAAAACTATAAGTATAATATAGTTTGATATTTGTAACAAATTTGGTATATAGCAAATTGAAAAAGTAAAATAAAAATTTAATAATAATAATATTTTCCTCAATTCAAGCTATATTTTGATATGCAAGATTATAGCTTGAAAATTATAATTAATTATAAATATTAGATATAATATTCTATATAATAATGTGTTATATAAATTTATTTCAAATATAAAACAAAGTTATTATGTAACTTTCATTTACATATATAAACAGTTTTAATATTGACAAGAAAAATATATATGTATGTATGTGCGCGTACTAACGTGTATATATGTATACACTTACCTATATTATGTACAAATATATAATCAAATATTATAAAATATGTACATTACAGTTAACTTATACTTTTATTAATCATTATACAATAGAATCAATATTTTATTAATTATTTTAATTTATATTAAAAGATTTTAAATTCATTTTAAATATGGTAAATTGAGGAAAGAGTGAACAGTCTGCATCAAATATAATTTTATATTTATTTTTTCTATAATTTTAAATTAAAATTTTATTTTATTGTATAATAATTTCATTTTATAATAAATATATTAATTTTATGTTAATTATAATTATATTATAATACAATGATTCTTTAAGTTATGAAAAAATTCTTTATAAACAAAGAAACTTCTTATTCTTTCGTCATAATAAATCATTTTATATATCTGTCTTTTTCCTTAAATAAATTATAAGCATTTATTTATAAAAAAAAAACACATTATATTGCACTAAACATAAAGTATCATGGACATCATACTAATTTTTTAATTCAGATATTGTATAATGCCCTGAATGTTACAATAATAATTCTACTATTTTATTTGAATTGATGTTATCAAGATATTATATTAATATTTGTATCACAGATGTAAAAGTTTACCTATCCTAAAAAAATTAATATTAACTTTTTAGTTTTTTATTTGCACAAATCAAAAATTTAATAATAAAGTACTTACTAATATAATTAGAGACGAACTTTTTATGAGCATCAATTTATGTTTACAAAATGTAATATATGAAAAAATAGTGATAGAATTTTATACAACTTTATATTACTTTATCGCATAACTTTGTCATAAGATGGTGGTGGTGCTTCATCCGATGAATTATTTGGTGGAATCAAAATAGCAATATGATAAGGTGGTGGTGGATTCTGTCTCACTACAGAAATAGGTCTAATATTTTCATTGGACATTGTAGTTGTAGATGCAATGTGTTCTTCTTGAATTTGATGCTCTTCATGACTGTTATGTTGATTTCGGCAATATAAAATAGAATATAAACACGCAAATAATGATAATGTTAATAGTCCCCAAAATACAAATATTTCTATACCTTGACCCTTGAAAAAATATTTAATATTAATTAAAAAAAATTAAAAATTATCTATGAAAAATATTTCAATTTCAATTTACCTTGTCTCCAAAGTAAAATTTTGCAGCAGCAACAAAACCTGCTGCAAGTACAAATGTTATCCAAACACCACATCGTAATCTATAACTTGCAAGTTCTGCATCATTAAATTCCGAAAAATCTAAAAGACTTCTATTTGTTCCATTTGACGTAGTATTTGATAATATTAATTGATTATTTCCTGCAGTTGTTACATTACTATAAACATACAAAAGTTTGATATTTTAATTGTTACTCTTCTTATAATAGTTTAAAGATTCATATTACTTATAACTATTTATGAAGGGCGAATCATTTATAAATACTCTGATGATAGACATGTATAAGTGAGTCACCCTGTATATAAGAAGAACATGTTCCTCAGATTCCTCTTAGTAGACCTTTTTCTTTAATTACTTGGAGATGTTGTTCAGCTGAGGATGTTGAGTAGAGCCAACTGGAAAATTGTTTTGATTTTCGTTATTTGTTCTTATTGTTGTTCTTAGCATTCTGCAACTATTTATGTTACTAGGACCAGCTATATTTCCCATAGTATTCAAATTTTGAAATCGATGAAGTGGTGTAAACATTTGTCTCATATCTGCATTGTATCTACATTGATCTATAAAAATAATAAATGTAAAAATGAAATCATATAAAATTTTTCTGCTTTTTTAATTAGAATATTAGTTTTAAATTTAAAAAAACTGTAATTAAATCAATATTCAAAAAAATTATTAAATGATATAATATAATAATATTATTGAATGAATTAAAAAATCAAAAAACTTAAAAATATGTTGAATTTTCTTACTAAAGTGTGTTTTTGGTAAAGGTGTGGCGGGGCATCGGCGGCCAGTGAAACCGTAATATCTGCCCGCCGGTTTATTAATCCAGAAATGCATGCTCTATTCGTGTCGTTTTAAAGACCCATTGCTACAAACTTTTTTGAAAATCAATTATATAAAACCTTCCTTAATAAGTGTCATAAATGTATTCACAATGAGCTTGCAGATGTTTCTAATTCAAATTCCATTGCTTGTACATTTTAAATCGATGCATCGCATCATAACATTTCTGACATTCATTATTTATAAAAAATTTAATTTTTTTAAAAATATATTTTTATTTTATATGATTAAAAATTTCAATTACATTAAAAAACATTGTAAGTAAATTCGAAATAAAGTGATAATACGTATTCGAATACATACGTCAATACATGACCAAACTGCAGGTTGAATTTTTATTATTGTCAATTTAAAATCAGGTATACCAACACTAATGAAATATATATACATATTTATGAAATGTTTAATACATAAATAAAAATATAGATAAAATTGATTTTTCGAAATGAAATTAAATGTTTGAAAATAAATTATATTTTTCTTTAAAATCTTTATAAAAGATTTATAAATCATTTTTTTATTTTTTAATTTTATTCTTTTTTGTAATATTTATTCGTAAAAAATTTATATATTTAAAAAATATATATAATGCATTTATCTTATTCAATACATTTATTATTTGAAAAAATGAAAAAATTTTTTAAATATTTTAAATATAAACACTATAATTTCAAACATCTAAAGTTTAATTCTAATAAATCTTTTTTACCACTTTAAATAATATTTATATATTTTATATTTATTTACATTATTTATTAAGATTTATTTATTAAATTAATTTATTTATTACAAAAATTATGTATATTTAGATCAATCTTCAAAAATTTTTAATATCTTTCTATTTATCATAATGTTAAAACTTCTATTAGTTAAACTTATATTAAGTTTAATAATATTTTTTCTATTTTATGATGTATAAAAAATTTAAAATTATGTATACATGCATACATATCTATATAATTTTAAACTCAGGTGGCTAAAATGAATTATATGTATTATATATAAATTATTTAAACTACGTATAATTTATAAATGTGTTTTTGAATTGATCTGAATTATACTTAAATTATTATATATATATATATTTTATTATGAAAAAATTATATTTAAATATATTTATAAATAATATTGATAAATTAATTTTAAAGAATTTATATGCATGTTAAGATCTAACCTTTGTCTTTTTGTAATTTTAATAAATAATGTATAACAAATTTATAATTTATTAAAATGATAATATTTAAGATTAGACAATACATATTTCAATCTGAATTATATTTTTTAAAACGATTTTTTTTCTACTCTGGTATTTGGAATACCAGTGATCAAGAAAACATTACTTCAAAATTAAATCATAAATCAGAATTATATCAGGAGAATAAAAAATTGTTGAAAGTTGCAATTCTGGGTTTACCAAATGCAGGAAAAAGTACATTAGTGAATAAACTTATAGGTAGATCTGTATGTATTCTAATTTATATTTAAATTATTTATTATTTTAATAATTTAATTTTTAAAAGAAAATATTTTTGATGCAGATATGTCCAACATCTTCAAAAGTACATACCACAATGCACAAAGCAGAAGCAATATATACTGAAGGAAATACACAAATTATATTCATGGATACTCCAGGATTAGTATTATCTAATGAAATTAAAACTTACAAATTATTAAAAACATTTAGTGAAGATCCTAAAAATGCAATTACTAATGCAGATGTTATTGGAATAATACAAGATGTAACTAATGTATATACTAGATATAAATTTGAAAATTTTGTTCTTAATTATATAAAAAATAAAATGGAAGATACACCATTATTGATGATTTTTAATAAAGTAGATAAATTAAAGAAAAAAGAGGTATTGTTAGACCTTACAAGAATATTAACAAATAATAATAATTATCCAAAATTTGATGATATTTTTATGATATCTGCATTAAATGGTGACGGAGTGGATGATTTAAGGGTAATATACAAATATATTATAATAATAATGTAATTATTAATGATATATATAATGAAGTATATATATGCATGTGTTTAAATATTTTTAGAATTATCTGCTTGATATAGCTAAATTAAAAAATTGGAAATATAAGAAGGAAATTTATACTGATCAATCAATTAAAACTATAATAGAACAAACAGTTAGAGCTAAATTATTGGATATACTTCCATATGAAATGCCATATAAAATGAGAATAATAATTGACCATTTAGAGTTTGGAGATGATAGTATTAATACCCTTTTAACATTAGATTGTCCTAAAGAAAGATATGTAAGAACTTTGTTAAAAATGAAATCTCATAAAATTAAATGTTTAGCATTTGATGTAGAAAAGGAATTACGTCATGCATTTAGAACTACTGTAATTGTACGTATAAATGTAAAATGTACAAATAGTGAATCATCTCAATTACATTAATAAAATCATTTTTACAAATAATATTTGTTTATTTTTTATATATTGTTTTATTTTATAAAATAAGATTTATAATAAATTTATTTATTTATATGTTAATATTATTTAAAATTATAAATATATAATATTATTAAAATATATAATTTTTTAAACATTTTATTAAATTTTCTGTTTTCAGAAATAAAATATTAAATATTAATTATAATTACTATTAAGATCATTAAAATAAGGAAAACTAAAATTACTTCCTTTCAAATTTTCTTCTATCCATTTATTAGCTTTAATATTAAGTTCTTCAGAGAACATGTCCTTCCATCCATTATTTTGGCCTTTTCTAATAAATGTTCCGGATGTTATAATATCACATTCCTTTAATTCTGATAAATTTACCATTGGATTGTTTTGAAAATTTTTAATATTTAGATAATCTTCTACTTTTTTTATTTCCTCCTCAGTATAATTTTTTCCAAGAAATTTAGCAATTTTTTTAATTGCTTTTGTAAAATCCTATTATAAAAAGAATTCAAAAATATAAAAAATATATTAATAGAAATTTCAAAAATTAAATTTTCAAATATTTAACTTACATATTGCATTTCTTCATAAAACATGAATAAAACATTTGGATGATTTCTATGTGTCCATGCTTCTTTCAAATGTTCCCAATAGGGACTCCATGGTGCTAAACAATTTTAATATTTTATAAAATTTTTTTTGTTTTTTTATTAATATTTAGTATGAATATTTTAAAACTTATTTAATAAAACTCACTAAGATTATTTTGGAAGTAATACCAAAATGTTGTAAAATCACCTATATATCCTTGGGTTTTAATTGCTTTATTTAAATAATACCATGAAACAGCAACATCTTTTGGATTTCTTGCAATATATACTATCTTCAGAAAATATAATTTTTGAATAAAATTATATAATAAAAAATAATAATATAATTTATTTTTGTAAATATAAATCTATTATAAATCTACCTTACAACCACTTTCTAAAATGTTAGGTAATAAACTAAATGGAAAATGTGATTTTATGAATCTCTTAGAAGGTATTTTTTCTAAGATATCATATCCTGGTTGTGCAATTTTTTTACATAATTTTTCTTTATTTTTATCTCCTTTATTTAATTCTAAAAATTCACGCGTTACCTCAGGATGATTGAACATACTAAATCTAGAAATAATATTTATAATGATAATAGATTTTTTATATAAGGCAATATAACAAATAAAATGTTCAGCTAGATAAAAATTTGAAAATATAAGAAATAATTCTCCAAATTAAATTACGAAAAAAATCAAAATCAAAATTGAAAAAATTATATTTTCGACTTTGTTTTTTAATTAAAAATGAATATACAGCAGCTTAAATATCAAGAAGTACAATTATCTTCAATTATTTTCATAGTATTTAATTTTATTTTCTTTTCTATATTTTATATAACATAAATTGATATCATTACATAAATACATTTGAACATCATTCATTACATTCTAATTATCTTATATTCATTGTAATAGAGAAATTTATTCTAGAAATATCTAGAAATATTTTTATCAATCTTTATTTATAAATAAAAATTGAATAATATGGCTAAAAATATAATTTTTTTATTTTTGATTTCTATTTTAACTTCAAAATTATTTTTTAAATTTTTAGGCGAACATTTAAATTTTTTTTTAAATCTGTAGACGAATACTTCGTATATGTAATTTACACGATTTTAGATTTTAGTTATGAAAATATTAATAAATAGTTTTATATAATTTACAATATTATTACTTTTCTATTCCGTTCTATTTCCTTTTCTAATAATATAATTATATGTTGTTTGCATGCAATATTAATCGTAGATTATTACATATCAATGAATAAGCTATATAATTTTTAACGAATGACATATAATTATTAGTCGTAATATTACATAAGTTATAATTGATTTATAAATATAATTGACTTATAAATATTATATTATATACATGCATTATTATATTATTATATTATTGTTTTAATAATCCATAATAAATTTTTAAAGTCATAATATCATTGATAAAAATTAATTTTTATATATATCTTTAATTAAAATTTTTTATTTAATTTAATTTGATTTTATAATTTTAATTATACTTACTCAAGAAACGGAAATCGTTCTGTTAAGAGTTCTGTCCTTGCTCTTTTAAAATCTAAGTTATTTGATAATAACCAGACTAATTCTTGAGTCCATGTTGTACCTATAAAAAAAAAGAAAATAAAAAAAATTTTAAAATCATTTAAAAATGAATAATTAACTTTATTATTTGCTAATATTTATACATGAAATAATATCGATAATCGTAACAATCGAATTGTATCGATTATACCTGCACTATTCAAAGTTTTAAATCTTTATCGTTAATAGTCTTTTAAATAAATAATAATAAATTCTTTTATAGTTTAATGAAAAATATGTATAAAAACTTAAATATTAACTTTTAATATAATAAAACTGAGTTAAAAATAAAAATTATATTTCATTATAATATAATAATAAAACATATTTTAAAAACATATAACTTACCGGATCTAGGATAAGATAAGACCCAAATATCATCTGGTCTAGCTTTAAAGTTATAGAATCCTTTACCTTCTATTGTATATTTATGAGGAAAAAACCATTTTTTTTCACCTACAAGCACCCAACCTGTTCTCTCACCCTTAAATATTTTTAACATCTTTTTTGTATTTTCTTTGTTCAAATATTCATATTTCGGTGGTTCAAGAGTCATTCTTGTGTATTTTAGTCTATAAAGTAAATTTATATCAAGAAAATATAAAAATTTAATAATAGCATTATAATAAATAACACTTGATATTCATAATTAATATTTATGATTAATATTTCTTGAATTATCAATAATTCATAATTATAAAATATAAAAAAAAATATCACCAAAAAAATTAAAAAAAATATGATAAAAAACGTACAAAAAATTAAAAATATTTATCGTAAAATATTTTTTTGAATTCTTATAAATATATATATTATTTATAATATATTAGTATATTTCATTATATACTATTAATAATCCACTTATTTCAAAAAAGATTCGACTACATAAAAATTTACAAGTATATTCTTCACTATTTAACTTTTAATTGTAAAAATAAATTTAAATATTGGTAATATAACGAAACGTAATAATATATGATTAAAAATATTGTTAAATTATTTTTTTATCCGTATAGATTGATTACGATTAATTGATATATTGAGTAATCAGAATACAAATTATTAAAAAAAAAAAGAAAGTTTCATTATTTTAGAATAAGTTTTATCATAAAACAATATATATATAAACAAGTAGTTTCAATTGAGAATTTATATATTAAGAATTTAAATTGATTAAAAAATAAACAAATTTTATACTATATGTTAGAAAAAATTATTATCTCTGTTATAAGTAAATTGCAATTTATATTACAATATTTTTTCTAAAATTTATTTGAAGAATTGAAATAAATAAATTAATATATCAATTTAAAGAAATAATATAATAATATATTAAAAATTAAATATAATTATTTATTCATTATTTACTAATATTAATATTATTAAGAAGTATTAAGTTGATATAAATTTTTTATAACAATAAAAAAATTAAGAAATTATACCTGTTACTAACAAAAAACGATGTTCATGCAACGAAGAAGAATGTATAACTGTCAGAAATCGGAATAAATATCGCTTTTAAATGAAACCTAAAGTATTGAGGTTAACAAACTTTCACCAACATTATAATAATTCCTCGATTATCCGATCTCTCATAAAAGAAAAAGCGATTACCAATTCCATCCTTATGAAAATAAAAATTTTTGAAATATAATTGAACTGTGTATATTGTTGTTAGAATTTTATTTATCTTCTAAATATTCATCTCAATAAATATAACTGTTTATTTAAAAAATAAAATCTCTTGATTTTCTCATAAATTTAATATACTTTTAATACTTCTAATAAACTTCAAATCGCTATTAAATCAGATGCCATTTCTTTTTTCTTATTTGTTTCAATTTTGATTAATTTTTGATTGAATTTGATAAATTTCATTATGAAAATTAAAAATTCAAATACTTATATA